ACTACTCAACAAAAAACGGCAAATTCTAACAGACATACACCAATCCCACTTAATTTATCAAAAGCAACACAATTACAAAATTTAGGAAGAGTCCCGCAGACTGCTACATTTCCAACAAAAACAAACAGAAATTATAGTCTTCCCAATCCTCCTAAAACTGCTACTTTTCCAAAACATTCTAACGGATTTCCAAAAGACATCAGACAATCCACTTCAAGGTTTCCAACTACGCCTTCTTCAAATTCAAGTAGCTCTCAACATGCTTATGCTCTAGCGAGTAGTGAGCAATATTTAAATACTTTGGAACAAACAAGGCTTAGATTTTATAATTCTAATCCTATACCTGCTAGATTCACCAAAGCTAATTATTCTCAAGTTGAGTTAGGTTCTGGTGCACCTGTAGTTATGTTATGTCATCCTGATGATTCAGATTCACAAGAATCATCACCACAAACACCAAGATTTTTACCTTCTGAAAATTTTACAGGTTCAACTGATATTTATGATTTATATAATCAACAACAATATCCTTATGAAGATGAATTATTATCAGATGATGGTCAACAGTATTCCTATTATTATGATCAATCACAAGAATATATTCCTCCCTCAACTCCAACTAGCAATTTATATCAACAACGTTCTAACACAGCTCCAGTTACAAAAGATGAAAGACGTAAAAGGTAAATAAATAAATTTTAACAAAAATTAAAATTTTTTTTTAATTATACTAATTAATATATATATATTGTTTATTTAGTGTATTTGGTGGTCCAATGAAAGTTCACCCAGATACAATTGTTCCTGTCCGTCAACCTAAAGGACCTGAAATGACTAGAAATTTTGCTACTCGAATTCGTCGTAAAGCTGTCAACAAGATTCATGCTGCTACTGCTGAAAGAAGAAGTAAATCTGCTGCTGACAGGAGAAAATCTGCGATGTTTTAATAGCAATAATAGTGGTAACGATAATAATTAGAACCTTACATGGTTGAAATTAAAAAAAAAAATTATTTGGATAAAGATCTAGAAAGCAATGTAGGCCAATGAAAGAATAAATAAATTGTGATGATAATAATTAAATTTATCATCATTATTATTATGTAGTTTTATTATTAATAACCACATCTAAAAAAATTATTGATGAATTTTTTTATAGTTTATGAGACTTCTATTTGTAGACATTTTTTTTTGTTTTTGAAATCAAATTTATTTATATATATATATATATTTTTTGAGATGGCGAAATTATATTTTATTGATCTATTTCAATAAAAAAATTTAGTTCTCAATAACATGATGATGGATCATTTAATCTAATAATAACAAGTGCTTTACCTGTCTGTAATCGTTATAGTTTTATTATTGTGGGTTGAAAATTTTACTCTCCCGAGCCTGCAATTCTGTACGGGAAATATAGAAAATTGCAATGAACAAGAAAGCATCACAATTGCTTCCAAAAGCTTTGGTTACTTGGAAATATGCCCTTCATATGGCCGAAAAAATATTCTGAATTTATTAAATTAGAATTTTTTTTTTTGAAAGATTTAATGGACCTTCTTTAATATCAATCTAATGGATTCTTCACACAATCTTACTTTACTAAAAAAAAAACTGCCAGAAAAAGAAAATTTAATTCTAATTCTAAACTATTTAGGTCATTAGATTTATATCCATTGTTGAAACATCTTTAGAAAAAGTCAATGAGGTTGTGAATGTCTTGATAGTAAGAGCAGTAGTTTTATTATTAGGTTTTCACCTATCTGTAAACCACCACTAGAAGTTTGTTATCTTTTGATAATATAAATAATATAAATGAAGGGATGCTATGACTTAAAAGCACATAATTATTACTGGCAAATCTTTTGTTCACGAAATAATGAAATGAGGAGACCGACTTCAACTATTGGTAATGGCATATCTCGTTACGGCATCATTTTCTTGCCCGAAACCAACAAATATTAAATCTTTGATGTACACGATTTTTACTTAAAGAGTCGAAAATTATGAGAAATTCGAGAATGAAAAATTTGAAAGAATTAAAGTATCCGTGAAAACTTTGTGGAAAAAAGAGCTAGCTCTAAACATTGGCTTTTAGTTAATAGGATGGAACTTAACAAATGTTCAAATAATCATCTTTCGCACATTCTATCTTGATTATCCATTCATCCATTTGAGGGAATGTTTGGCATACTGTTGACTAACTCTGGGAACTTTTCTTTTAACATATGTTAACTTACATTTGCTTTGTTACTATGGATTTCACTAATAACTTGATATTAATATTAATAATGCCACTTCCGTTAAGTAGAAGTAGGATGGATATGTTTGCGGAAAGGAATACCTTTTATTTAAATGTTGGTTTATCTGTTGAGAGTTTATTAACGCCAAGTTGAAAGAAACTAAATGGGAAGAAGGCGGCAAAGAGGAACTCTGTATTATTGTTAAACGGTAGTCGGAGGCACGTGATTTATGCCAATTATAATTACCAATTTCTTTAATATTAATCTCAAAAAAAAAAAAGGTTTTTTTATATTCCACCAAAATTTATAAATTTAACATTGAGAAATTCTTCAATTCCATATTTTGAACCTATTATTATTTAAAAAACCCCGCTTTGTGAGATTTTTTAAAAAAAATTATTCTAAACATCTAAATATATTTTAACACAACTAACCTTCGCGCCCAAAGCCTGATTCCTTAACCTAATAAAGAAATAGTAATTTGAAGAAGAATAGTGATTTAATAATTTTAATAAATTAGTTCTTATTTTTCGAGCAAAAAAAAATTTTTACTAACCCCACCAAAAGGAGTTTCGCAAAAACCAATCTTTCCATCATTGACACCGACCATTCCAACCTCCAAAGCTTCCGCAACTCTCCAACATCTTCCAATATCCCTGCTATAAAAATAGGCAGCTAAACCATGGGTGGAATAATTAGCCATAGTAACTACTTCATCTTCATTTTCGAATTTATACAAGGCAGCTATCGGACCAAAAGTTTCTTCGGATGTTATAATCATATCCTTTGACATTCCTGTCAAGACAGTTGGATCAAAAAAATTCACTGCTTGTCTAGTACCACCAATCAATATTTCAGCACCTTTTGCCACAGAATCATCAACGTGTCTTTTAACTTTTTCAACCGCTTTTTTATTTATCAATGGACCATGAGTGGTGGTTGGATCAAACCCATTTCCAATTTTAAATTTACTGACTTTTTCAGAGAGTTTCGAGGCATATTCAGCATAGATTGACGATTGCACGTAGATACGATTTGGGGAAATACAAGTTTGACCTGATGCTCTAAATTTTGAGGCAATAGTACCTATATAAAACTTTAATCTTAATTAAACAATATCTTTTTTTTTTAAAAAAAAGAAAAATATAAAGCAAAAAACCTTCAACAGCTAAATCTATGTCAGCATCATCAAAAACAATTAATGGTGCATTTCCACCTAATTCCAATGAAATACTTTTTAATGTACTTGAACTTTGTTCCATCAAAAATTTACCGACAGCGGTCTGTATTTTAAAGATTCAATAATGATTATAAATATATAAAAATATCTTTACTTATTGAAAGAAGAAAAATAAAATAATATTATTACCGATCCAGTGAATGAAATTTTTCTAACGTCAGGATTAGTTGTTAATTCCATACCAACCTCACTAACATTTTCGTTGGTAGTTATAATATTGATAACGCCTTTAGGAATGCCTGCTCTTGAAGCTAAATCAGCCAAAGCCAAAGCAGAAAAAGGAGTTTCAGCAGCAGGTTTTATTACAGTGGTGCAACCTGCTGCCAAAGCAGCACTTATTTTACGAGTGATCATCGCATTTGGGAAATTCCAAGGAGTGATGATTCCAGCAATGCCAATCGGTTGCTTTTGTACCAAGAATCTTTGACCTTGGGATATTGATGGGATGATATCACCATAAATACGTCTTGACTCTTCAGCAAACCATTCGATAAAACTTTGTCCATATTTAATCTCCACCAAAGATTCATTGAATGGCTTACCATTTTCAAGAGTTAGTATTGTAGCAAGATCATTCATATTTTCTAATATTAAAGAACCCCATTTATTCAAAGCATCATGTTTTGTCTATTCATGAAATATATATAATAAATATCAATAAATTAAATCAAACCAATTCAAATAACACAATCAAATTTTAAATTATACTCTTGCGGGCTGTCTTGACCATTCATTTAATGCATCTTTAGCAGCCTTTATTGCATTTTTTGTTTCTTTAGCACCCATTTCAGGTACTTGTCCAATCTCATTTTCAGTAGCTGGATCTGAAAAAAAAACAAAACATTCTTATTAATTAATTAATATTTGTAGGTTGAATATATTTATATTATATTTATACTTGTACCTAATACAGAAAATTTTTTTTCTGATATTGAGTTAATCCATTCACCATTAATAAAAGCTTTACTTTTTAATAATGATTGATCCTTCAACTATAATTAATTAATTACAATTGAAATATATTCAACATTTAAACAATGTGGACATTTATTTAATCCTTTCTAACCTTTTGAATGTTAGTCTCTGTTACAAAAGATTTAAAAGATTTAATTTTATGAGAATTATATTTTAATAAAGAGCGCGTAAATAATGGTTTTAAAGACATTTTATTTATTTATTTAGAGTATGAAAGAAATCGTATTAAATCAGCGCGACGGGACCTTTTGGCATCAATATAAATGGGTAAATAATTATAGTGTGGCAATTGTGGCGTTTAGCACTTCATTTCGTACCACCTAAATTTAAACTTCCAGGTTGATAATTTGTGCGACTGCTTTTTTTCAATATATAAAAATTTTTTTTTAAAAATTATTATTAACTAGATCTTCTTAATTAATAATAGTTATTGGTTTTTTATTATTTACACTTTCTCATTAATTAAAAATTTTACTCTCTCACCTGCATAAATTATCAGTAAAACGTCAACGAACCATTTTACATAAAAAATAAGAATAAAAAATGGCTGACCACGCTGATGATTTGATTGATTATGAGGAGGAAGATGAAGTCATGCAATCTGAAACTATCCAATCTGAACAATCTGAAATCAATGGTCAGGAGGGGAATGATGATAAAAAAGATAAGAAGGGAAGTTATGTGGGTATTCACTCTACTGGATTCAGAGATTTTTTATTGAAACCGGAACTTTTGCGTGCTATTGTTGACTGCGGTTTTGAACATCCAAGTGAAGGTTAATATCATGCATACATACATAGATAGATAGATAGATACATCTATCCTTTAATATATATATATATATATTTAAAGTCTATATACAATATTCATGAGTAATAATAATTTTTCAACAATCTTTTAATAATAATAATCTAATAAATTTATATATAAATAATATACATACATACATATAAATAAATAAATATAGTTCAACAAGAATGTATCCCTCAATCAATTTTGGGAATGGATGTATTGTGTCAAGCTAAATCTGGTATGGGCAAAACAGCAGTATTTGTTCTTGCAACACTTCAACAAGTAGAACCTACACCAGGAGAAGTATCTGTTATTGTACTTTGTCATACTCGTGAATTAGCTTTTCAAATTAGGAGCGAGTATAGTAGGTTCAGCAAATATATGCCAGAAATCAAAACTGATGTCTTCTATGGAGGTATTCCAATCAGAGAGGACTATAAAAAATTTTCAAATAAAGATACCATTCCACATATTGTGGTAGGAACACCTGGAAGAGTGTTGGCATTGGTTAATGATGGTCATCTTAAAGTTGGTAGCGTTAAACATTTTGTGCTTGATGAATGTGATAAAATGTTGGATCAATTAGGTATTTAAATAATTTCTATTATTCAATATATAATTAACATATATATATATATATATGTATGTATGTATATGTATATATATTGTTATTATTATAAATATATAAAAATGATGAAAAGCCATAGCTATTAACCCAGCTCGTCTAAGGTTTTATTTAAACCTAATGAGATTAATATTATTCTGATTTATATCATATAATATATATATATATATAAAAGATATTATTTAATATTAATAGTAATCATTACATTATCGTCATTATTAATTTATGATTAATTAGATATGAGAAGAGACGTGCAGGCGATCTTTCGTAAAACACCTCATAGTAAACAAGTAATGATGTTTAGTGCCACTTTAAGTAAAGAAATTCGACCAGTATGTAAAAAGTTTATGCAAAATGTAAGGATAACTTTTTATATTTATATAATTTGGGAAGGTTTTTGAAGAAATTAAATTCTTTTTAACTTAAAAAAAATTTTTTTTTTAGCCGTTAGAAATTTATGTTGATGATGAAACCAAACTTACATTACATGGTCTTCAACAATATTACATTAAACTAACAGAGGCTGCTAAAAACCGGCAATTGAATGATCTTTTAGATACACTTGAATTCAATCAAGTATGTATCTTTGTTAAATCGGTTCAACGTGCCAATGAATTAAATAGACTTTTATGTGACTGCAATTTCCCGAGCATTTGTATCCATGGTTCCATGAAACAAGAAGAAAGGTAACAATTTATCGATTAATATTTATGAGAATGATTGTAAATTATAAATTATAATTGATTCAAAATATTGAAATAATAACAGGATTGCAAGATACAAATCTTTTAAAGATTTTCAAAAAAGGATCATGGTTGCTACAGATGTGTTTGGACGAGGAATTGACATCGAACGGGTCAATATAGTTATCAACTATGATATGCCTGATGGCCCTGACAGTTATCTGCATAGAGTAAGTAATAGAATGACTGGCTAATTAATTTTTTCTTTGTTATTAACATAATCAACACCACTATAATTTCATCTTTATTATCGTTATCGTCATCTCTGCTACTGCCGACAAAATCAATATACATTATGTATATAGGTTGGTCGTGCTGGACGTTTTGGTACCAAAGGAATTGCAATTACTTTTGTGGCTAATCAAGAGGATGCTGACACTTTATTCAAAGTTCAAGAAAGATTCGAGGTGAACATAACTGAAATGCCAGCTGAAGTTGAAATAAATGATTATAGTAAGTCCTATTTTATATGTTATATTATTATCATATTGTTATTAAATGAATTATAAATATGTTTCTAACCTCTAAATTTTCTCTTGATTTATTAACAATTTAGTGGCCTCATAATGTTAAAATATTAAAATCAAATTACATCAAACTACAAATTCATAATAAAGGTTCAATTTTTCTTATATTAATAATTCAGTAATTTATTTGTTTCTTTTTTTTTCTTATCTGCGAAAAATTAGAAGGGGGAGTTATCATTATTAATAATATTAGGAAGGTATATTTGATGTAATTTTTTTATTACAACAAAAAAAATTTTGATATTACTTTTCTTATTATTCATATTATTATTTTTTTTTATATTTTATTATTATTTTATAGTTTTGGATTAATTAATGAGGGTCATTAAAAAATAATTTATAGATTATATTTTATTTTTTTCATTTTCATTTTTGTTGTATATATTCATACTGTGTTGAATTTATAAAGGCAGACTCTCTCTGTCTGTAGAGAATGATGATGATGATCGGGCCCAGAAATATCATAACTGTTCAGTGATGGTCTTTATTTTAAATATATAAAAATAAATAAGCATATAACGGTGCATCTTTAATATACAGCAGTACCTTTGAAATTGACTTTTTTTAAGGAATAATTATAAATGAAGCAAATATTGAATATTGCTTATTTGGCTACTCCAATGTTTTTTCTTTTTATATTTTTATAACATGAAAACTTTTGGAGTTAACGGTCATTTTAAGGAAAAATAATTTTCCAATGTATATATAATTGAATATTGAACGTGAGACGTCAAATATTATAAAAAAATGTATCATCGAATTTTAGAATTTTATTCAGGAATTGGTGGAATGGTGATTTTAAAAAGTTATTATATTATCGTAATAATGAATATATATTAATTTTTAAAAAATTGCATATTACTTCTATTTAGCATTACGCATTCAGTTTGTCAAACAATACTGGGGAAGTTATAGCAGCTTTTGATATAAATACAACAGCAAATTTGATTTATAAATATAATCTTGAAAACAAAGATAATAATGATGATGATAACAACAGTAATAAATCAAAAAAAAAAAAGTCAATAGTTCATCAGGTATTTGACATTTATTTTTATAAAAAAAAAATTTTTTTAGTTTTTGATTAATAAATAAATAAAATTGTTAAATATTAAGTAGAGAAATATTGAGAATATACCTTTATCATATTATGATTCATTGGATGCTGATGTATGGTTAATGTCACCGCCATGTCAACCATACACACGTATTGGGTTAAATCAAGGATCTAAAGATGTTAGATCTAAATCTTTTTTACATCTAATCAATCTATTATCGATCGTGAAGAAACCTCCTAATTATCTTTTAATTGAAAACGTCAAAGGATTTGAGGTAATATTAATAGAGAGTATACATGTGTATATGCATTTACATACTCTTATTTGTTTATTTATTAGGAATCAGATACAAGGATCGCACTTTTAGCGCAACTGAAAAATTGTGATTATAATTATCAAGAGTTTTTAATTACTCCATTACAATTAGGTATTCCTAATTCAAGATTAAGATATTATTTGTTGGTTGGTTGGTTATTATAATTAATATACACATATATTTATATATATAGTTATACTAATAACAATATAATATTTAAAATAAAATAAAAATATTTTCTAATTGATTCAGGCAAAGAAAATTCCATTGAAATTTAAATATTCAAATCAATTGCAAGAAACACTTGATTATATACCTTGCTCGCCATACGATAAATCATTTAAAGATTCTAGAAATATTGATTCTATCAATCTTCCTAATAATATAGAAATTTCACAAATCAAAGAATTCCTGCAAGATAATGTTGATAATGAAAAGTATTCTATTTCTGACAAGGTAATAATTAATTATAATATATGATATGACACGATATGATATGATAATATTTATTCCTGATTATATTTATATATTGATTTTTAATAATTTAGAATTTAATAAAATATGGAAAATTATTTGGTAAATTTTGAATTTTTTAATATTAGCCTAAATACATCTTTTTATTCATCTAATATTTTTATCCATTAGATATTGTCAACCCATATTCAAGAAGAAGCTGTTGTTTCACAAAAGGTGATAAATTATATAGGTGATTATTTATTATTAGAAGAAGAATAAATATTAATTTTTAAAAAAACATTATATGAATACTTTAGGATATTATCATTACGTAGAAGCGACTGGTTCAATATTACAAATGGATGATGATACAAATGTATGTAATTTATCGAAAAAAAAACATATATTCCATTTTGCTAAAAAATTTTAATATTCAATATATGTGTATATGTATAAAGTCATCGTCGATTTTCAAAACAACGGAAGAAAAAACTTTATCAACGAATAATTATTATAATGCAAATCACCTTTCTTCTTCCACTCAGATAAATCTTCGTTACTTTACCGAATATGAAATTTCTAGAATAATGGGATTTCCAAATTCATTTCGATTTCCAGATAATGTTACATTAAAACAACGTTATAGAGTGTTGGGAAATAGCATTAATGTTAAAGTTGTATCAGAGTTAATCAAATATTTGTTTTTAGAATAACAGACTGATTTATAGATTATTATAGAAATAATGCTTGTTTCTTTGATTCATTGATTATATATATAATATTTTATGTGAAAATAAATATAAAATAAATATAAAATAAATAATGTATACAAATTTTTATGATGATTTCTATGATCTATATAAATATATATATAAATTATTGATAATAAAATGTGATATATATTTATGTATGTGTATGTAAATATGTAGTGTATTTTTTTTTTAAATATGATTTCCTAAATGAATTATTTTCAAACTTTAAAGTTTCTTTTTTCTTTTTGTAGAAAGTAAAAATTAATTTAAAAATGAATAAATAAATAAATATATATATAAACACATGTATACACACAAAAGTTATAAAATTTAATAATAATATTAACTACAATAAAGATTTCCTCTTGGATTAAAAAAAATTTTTTTTGACTTTGAAAACTTTTAGCAGTTCTTTTCAATTTTAAAAGAATGAAATAAATGATAAATAAATATGAAATAAATATCTATAATAACATTATTTTTAAATATTTTATAATCTGTGAAAATGTCCATGATCATTTTTGTCCACCATTTTATTATTATTATTATTTGGTTGATTGATTATTTTTTTTTTTCAACAAGTTTGAAGAGACAATATGGATCTCACATCTTCTGTGAATCTTAACGCATCTAAGAATGGCAACAAATCTAATAATGCTTCATCATGTTGATCGTCAATCCACCCTTCAATTGGTATTCCATTTTCTTTTTTTTAAAAAAAAAATTTAAATATATAAAAATAAAAGAATAAATTATTATTATTATTACTATTATTATTATTATTATTATTATTATTATTATTATTATTATTACTATTATTATTATTATTACTATTTCATCATCATTGTCATTATCATTATCATTATAAGATGATATATACCTTGATGCATTGCATAAGATATAGGTGAATTATCAATCAGACAAACTTTTGAAAGATCGGGTTCGACAATCGTTAAATCTTTAATATAAGCTCCATGATGATTGAGGCATGACTAAAAATCAATTAATTAAAATTAAATATACATATGAATATTATAATAATATTATAATTAAATAAATTTATTCATTCATACTTGACGAAAATATCGATCCGATATTAAGTCTTTATTAGGATCTAACCAATCGATAACTGGATCAGCATATTCAGGCATAGAAGCTGTGAAAATAACAACTTTATACCATTCACTAACCTATAAAAATGTCAAAATAAAATTATAAAATAAAATTATAATACGTATACACATATATGCATATATATAAATTAATTAATTAATTAATTATTAACATGATATATATCCCTTCAAAGGAAAAAAATTAAAGGAAAAAATCTATACTTTTTTCAAAAAATAATCCACATATGGCCTTTTATAAACGTAATATAAACAAGCATGATTATCTACCATGACTTCAATCATGTGTGTATCTGATCTTGAACCCCTTGATGTAGAATGTATTAACGTTTCATCCAAATCTAGTATAAGTGTTTTTGATCTCATGAAATGTGAAAATGATGGTGTAGATGTTTAATGTAAGAACAAAATATTAATTTAGTGCAACGTCTTCATATAAACTTAGTATTTTGTTTAAAAAGGAAATTTTAGGTATTACGAAAATGATTGCGTATATATATAGTTGACTTCTTGATGTTAATATTAATTTTAAACATAAACATCAATATTAACATTAAGTTCTTTCTGCCAAAAATTTTTTCAAATGTACAGAACTTTAAAAAAATCTATTAAGACCGTTATTTTTACTAGCTATTTTGGGAATCTGAATAAAAATAATGTCTCTATTTCGTGTTACTAAACAAATAATTTTCATCGCAACAGCACGGATGAGTAAATAAAAAAAATTCTTATAAAAGAAACAAAATCTTTCGGGATGAAAAGAAATAAAGCCATTCAATGACGAAAGGATGAAAATATATATATATTACTGGGACTAATTTTTTTGTCGATATATCTTTAGCCAAATATTAAATTGGAAATTCTAGGTAATATATAAATCTTGGTATTTCGCATATAAGAAGAAAGAGAGATCTCAGATAGGTGTTACAATAAAGATATTGTGTATGATTTATGTAATTGCTAAAAAAAATCTCTAATAAAGCTTTTTGTGAATTTCAAGTGGAGGCGTCTACATTTTGTATAAGCCAGTAAACTAAATATTTTTTTGATACATAGTGAATATTTTTTCATTATCTTACCTTTTACTACTATAAATAATGTAAATCAGTGTATTACATTGAAGTAGGTCAAGATAACTTGAGTTTAGAAGACGGACGTGGGCGGTTCAACAGAATTGATCAAGAAGGGACAATTTTAGAAGAGAAGCTGTGTGTGAGATTTGAGTATTATATAGACCTTCCAGATCAGTAAGTAGAATTTTTTGGAATTGATCTAGAAGCAACTATGTGTAAGTACTGGAATGGTAAAATAAAAATTAAAAGAAAATCAAGAAAAGATTAAGTGATATATCTTTTTTTCTGGCAGTTATGAAACGGTGTAATTTATTGATTCGTTTAGATTAATAATATTAATTATGTATATAATAAATAATTAGCTCATTATTTCAATTATATGAAATGAAATAACAAAATTAACCATTCACAACAATGTTTGTTTGGTTTATTATTAATTTTATTTGAGGTCGTCGGTAAAGATGGTTGTTGTTTAAATATTTTTAGAAGGCTTTCAATTTTTGATCGACACCATAATCACAGTGCAACCAAAAATATTTAATATTTTCCTGGTTTAGGCACATTAAAAGATTTCGAATTGAATTTCAACATACATATATGCATGCATACATACAATTATGACAAACAACTATTTATTATATTAAACTCTAATCAGAAATCATTGCGTAAATTAAAGAAATGAATGAATGAATGAATGAATGACATTAAGATTTTAATGCATATTTTATTATTTTATTTATATAAATTTTAAATTCCTTAAGATGAATCATCGACTTCTTTTTTTCTCCTGACGCTAAAAAAAATTTCAAATTGTCAAATATCAAATTAATACAATTAATAATAAAACCAATAATAATTTTCAAAAAAAAAAAATTATCACCTTCTTCTTGTTCTTATTGGAGCTGCAGAAGAACTTGGAGTTGGCTCATAATCATCGTCATCTACATTTCTATTAATTAAATGCGTAAAATTGATTTTAATTCAATTAATTAATCAAATAATTAATATTATTAAGAGATAATAACAATGATATAATAAAAACAGTAAGTTTTCTTATTTGAAAGAATAAGGGTACATTACCTCCTCCTTCCTCTTCTTTTTCTTGGTTGTGATTGTGGTGACTTTGATGCATCAGGTTCATCACCACTTACTAACGCATTTTCAACAATATCATCATCATAATTATTAATATTATTACTATTTTCACCAACAACTGTCGAAGATGTTGAAGCTTCTGCTTCGAAGGAGTCCACAGGATCTGGTATATTGGCAACAAGCTCTTTCAAGAAATCAAATTGTTCTGTAACCATGATTGTTTTCTTTCTGTTTTAGAAAAAATAAATATCAAGTTATTTTAGGCGATATAGGTTTGTTAATTAATTATAAAAAAAATTGAATATATATATATATGTATGCATAACTTTGGATTACTTACAAATGAGAAACCGACATTCTTTTTGCATTTCTAGCTTTTGTTTCTCGACATGCTTGATCAATCAACGATTGCATAAATAATTCCAAAGCTTTCGCTGTTAACAAAATTATATTATTTGCGATATAAAATAAAAAAAAAAAGATAGGGAGAGAAAAATTTTTTTTCGTTTAGTTAAACTAAGACTGACTTAAATACAAACTAACCAAACCCTCAAAACTCACGTGCCGTAACCAAGAATTGACGTAGTAGATCTCCTTCAACTCACAAATCAATACTGGAGTTGCTTGAGCAACTTTGCCTACATCCTCATCCATTTGCATTATCTTCTTAATTCGTGCCTTTATATTTATAAAAAAAATTAGAAGAAAATTATAAATATATTGTTGTTATTTGTTTATAATATATTAATATGTAATATATTTTAAATCAATTTAGAAAATTTAGAAATGTTAGGGGGGAATACATACTACTGGAAATTTGGTTTTATACTTTTTCCTCATCATAAGTTTTGACGCTTTTCAAAAGAATTTGACCGATAATAAAAGAAGCTCTTTAAATTATTTGTTGATATTTGCTCTTTATAAGTAAAGAATTTTGTTCAAGATCGAAATATAATCGCAACTAAAATTTTCAGGAATAAATATGGGTTATGTATGAAAGAGAGTGTGTGTTAATATTAATAACAACAGATAAGTGAAACAAGATAAACTGTAACACGATATCCTTCCTAATTTGAAGAATTGAACACCATTAATAAGAGAGCCCTGGAAATTCTTCCTAACAAATTAGGGGACCTTGCGAATCGTTTACTTTTATATATAATAGGAATTTTCTAAAGAATTTTCCAAGGCTTATTATTATTTCCTTTTGTCGCCAAGGATGCGTGTGCGACATGCCAATTTTTTAATTATTCTATTGGCCCAATTCTTGATCGTTAGACAGTTGGCTTAGTTCGCCGCCCTTCTATTTTTTTTTTCCAGAGAAGCCCCTCCCATTGTTATTTACTTTCCCTACTTTTTGTTAATCTTGGGCTCAGCATTAGAAATTAATAACAAAGTACCTAGAACTTGTTTATTTTATTATTGTTGTCATTGTTACTATATACCTTGCCTACGTCTTTTAAACAACTACTTTGAAGTTTCTTAGCAATAAATCTTACTGTCACGTATTCTGAACTTTTCAATTTTTCAATCTCTACCATTTTCTTTGTCAAATGAATCAATTTTTCTCGTAAGAGTTCAACTATAATTCTCAACTAGTGTTATAATGTCAATATAGTATAAGGCTTGGTATTTATATTTCAATGTTTTGTTTCATATATGTATATAATTAAATAATATGTCTTACATAACTTTAATATATATGTGTAGACTTCATTCTTCGAGGGAAATAGTAAGTTTCTATTGCTCAATTATTCCAAATTTCTTTAGTTTGTACTCCTCAGGCGAATAATATACTGTAGCTTTGAAATTACTTTCGATTCAAAATCATTTTATTCAATAATTCAATACTCCAATCCCAACAAAAAATCATGCGATTCACACTCTCTATAACGGACATTGGGATTATAGATTATTATTATTATTAGAAAAAGCATCAGTTATAGAGAGGAGCCGGTATATAAAAATCATTGATCATTACATGTACGAAGTCACGTGCAATTTTAATATGTGTTTATTCATTAAATCCTATTTTTTTGACCAAGTTGTTGCTAATTATTTGTTTGTTGGAATCGAAGTTGTCTGCATTGCTAAATCAACCTCTCTTTTTGCTAAAGCAGTTAAAGATTTTCTCTTATTTAATAACACTATGAAACAAATAAATTAATTTAGAACTTGGATAAGGTGGATTTAAATCAAGAAATTCAATTTATACATTTTATATACGTTAGTACATTAGATCGTCGTTATTTGTTATTATTAAGATTCAAATAAGCATAATTTGTAGAGGCTGCATATTTTTTTATTTATATATTAATATAGTAATAGGTCATAATGAAATGGCTTTCAGATGCAATCCGGTATACGTCATACAAAATTTAATTAATAATAATAATATCCGTCATAAAGATTTCAAATAGTAAAAAAATCGAGACAAAATTTTAATCTGATAACATCCCTGGTTTTAAGAATATTTTATCCGCATCTTTTAAAATCAATAATTTTGTTTATCAAGTCAAACCAAGTACAGGAGTCCTAAACCCGCTTATGTAACTAAAACAGTAATCATGAATTAGGATTAAAAAATAATTAATAATTATGGCTTAACTTTGGGGCCACTAATCGAAAGCAAATTGGTGCTTGTCAATTAATTAGTCTACGAATTTACCTTGGTTTTTGCCTCTTTCTTGTACCTAGAAAGCTTTGGCGAATGTGTAAGCACGCTGGACTGTAAAGGGTAACTGTAAATAAATAAGCAAAAATGGTCCTTTTACAATCTTCAAAGGCTTCCATAAAGTTCCTTTTATTCACTGATACAAAATCACCATCAAATGTGATTTTTTATATAAATACTTAAATATTTATATATACAAAATAAAATTTTTCTCTAAACATCACAGTTCACTTACTCTATAACAGATATTGATATATAACGGATCTTGCTCTATAACGAGTAGATTCTCCCTACAATGGGCATGTTTTCCTAAGCCAAATGATCTGCTCTATGAAAAATTCTTACAGAAAGACAGTGCATGCACTCTTACTGTGTATTTCCGGAATTGCCATAAGTATTCTTCCAGCGAAAAAGTACGGGATGAGTACGGAATACATACGAACCACACATGAAATACACACGGGATTTATGGAATACGAACGGAAACCATACCAATACTAATACTAATACTAATACTAATTATTAATATGGAAATTTACATTTTCCGTAAATCGTATAATAATATTATTATTAATATAGTAATAGTATTTTTTTTGTCTTTAAATACACATTCCGTGATTTTTGCGGCATTCCACCGTTTGAATACATTAATATTTTCGTCAGAAACTGGTGTTATTGTCTTATCTAGGGATGGGCAGATCAGTACTATACGTATAGTGCGTATAGTTAAATAACCAGAAGCCTGTCCTATTAAAGCTGTATTGACTTCAAAGAAAGGTTCATCAAAGCCTTCTATGCCATTTATTGGTGTTGAATGGAATCGGTGTAATACAAATGTGTCCAGAGTCACATTTCCATATTTCAAACCAAAAATTTAATGAGTCAAACTCATCATCTTTTCTCCAATACATGAGGATGAATGATTTCCTAGCACTACTAAGTGTGGATTTTTGCTGTCGTATTGTCCGGACTATCTCTAATAGTATAATTTCTTAAGTCCTAAGTCATTATTTGGAAATCATTCTCGAAATCATTCTCTGATAATTAAAAATCAAAGTTTGGTGTAGATGTTGGTCTTCCTAGTTAAGAGGAAGATAAATCACCATCAACGCTTGAGTTAACATTACAAATTGAAGCTGACTACCATCTGACATTTCAATGGAGAATCTTAAATGAGCGAGTAAATATAAATTTATTATTTTTAATTAATTATATTCTCCCATTTGACAAAATCATTTCTTGCTCATAAAAAACATATGACATCGTCAATGACGCATTTTTGACATTTTACGTTAGTAATTGTCAATTAGTCATTCTATTTTATTTTATTTTATTGGACAAAAAAAATCATGTAAAAGTCATGTTATTTGTAATACTTTGTTTCCATTCGCAGTTAAACAAATCCTTTCCAAGCTAGTTTGATGATGATTATGATGATGATGTAGAAGTTGAGGTTGGAATTGTTCGTTCATTAATGATTGTTGTTGTTTTGATGCAACTGTTCTTTCCCTGATTTTTAAAATTCCTGGGCAAACTATTATTAAACAACGAAGCAATCATACAGTTTACTATGCAAAAAAAAAAATACAATTCACAAAGTAAAATACTAAATTTCTCTCCTCACAGTCCCCCTGGTCAAATGAAAATTACTTGTTTGTAAAAAAACTAATTTTTCGTTGTTACCTTGATCAAAATTATCTTAAACAATTTAATAAATAAACAAAATAATTGATTTTATTTTTCCATCATTATGAAAAGAATTAATTTAATTAATTTGATTTAATTCCAATCCAACTTTATGAACTGTTTCTAAAAATATTTTGGTTGATTCAGGATCAACAGTGGGCAAAATACCATGACCAAGATTCACAATGTATTTATGATTAGTACCAAATTTTTTCAACATCTTTTCAACAGTGGATTTAATTGCTTCAACATCGCCATATAATACATTTGGATCCATATTGCCTTGTAGTGTCACTTTACCTTTGGTAATTTCCTTAGCATAGATTGGATCAATTGTCCAATCTAAAGATATAACATCATATCCGATTTCTGATAATGATTCTAATGCATACCATGATCCTTTACAAAATATTATCATTGGTACAGGAACTAGTCCTTCTGTCTTTAATTGTGATTTAACTTTATTTGATATTTGAGTAAGATATGGTAATGAGAAACTGTTAAAATCATTTGGTGATAATTCTCCTCCCCAAGATTCAAATATTTGAACCATCTGTAAATAAATAAATAAATAAATAAAGTGAGTTTAAATATGAAAGCGTATTTATTTAAATGCATGTAATTATAATAATATAATTAATGTTTTCCTTCCTCCAAAAAAAATACTTCTTACTTGTGCACCAGCTTTGATTTGTCCAATTAAAAAATCAATAGCAACATCAGTAATTTTTTGTAATAATCTTTTACTCTCATTGGGGTATTTAAACAACCAAGTTTTAGCTTTAGATAAAGTATTACTTCCACCACCTTCTATCATATAAGCCATCAAAGTCCATGGTGCACCAATAAATCCTAATAAAGGTACTCTACCATTTAATTCTTTTCTTGTCATTGTGATGGCATCAAAAACATATCCAAGCTCTCTTTTTACATCGATCACATCTTTTAGCTTTGTATCTATATCTTCAGGTAATACCAATGGATCGGGGAAATTGGGTCCTTTACCAGGTAACATTTCAACTACTAGTCCTAAAGCTTGTGGTATTACCAATATATCTGAAAAAATTATTGCTGCGTCCAATAATCCATCATATCTATTAATTGGTTGTAATGTAACCTCTGTTGCCAATTCTGGTGTACGACAAATTGTGAAAAAATCATATTTTTCACGCATAGATCTAAATTCTAGATTTTTTTTATGTTAAAACAAAAAAATTTTTTATTAAATGAGATCATCTAATTATTATTATTTGGTTTATACCAGGTAAATATCTTCCAGCTTGCCTCATAATCCAAACTGGAGCACGTTCAGTTTTTTCACCTGATCAAAAAAATCATAATTAACTATTAAATTTCTTATCAATCAATATAATCATAATAATTTAGTAATTTACTTACCACGTGCTGCGCGAAGAATCAAATCATTTTTTAATTCTGGAAATTTTATTATATTGGACATTGGGAGTTTTTTCTGAAAGGAAATATAATTTTTTTAATCTATGGTTGTTACACTAATTAAAAAAAAAATCTTAAAATTCAATAACTATATTTGAGTTTGCGAAGCATATCTATGATTTGCTGGCGCACAAGAAATTGATTGGTTAATTTTATTATTACGCGATCATTACTAGTAAATTTTAACGTCATTATTATATTTCTATACATCTAATTTATCAAAACACTAATTCAAACTTTCTGTTATTGTTGTAGTGACAAAAAGGTTTAAGTGAACATTGGTATTACCTAAGGGTATGGGGGACAACTCAATGTAATATAGATTTGTCAATTTCAAAATTTTCACCCTATAGTGTTTATTAGTAAATAAAAATAAAACGTGAAACACGTACATATTGTACACCAAGAATTCACAAATTAACCCTAGTTAAAATTTTCATACTTGTAAGAAAAAACCTTCAGCTTTCTTTTGATATAAATTTTTTCAAAGTATCTTCCTAAAGCTTCAAAAAAATACCATCGGTTGTAAAAAATATTTTTTCTTTGTGTTTTCAACATTACACTTATTATTTACAAGCTTTTATATATGTATATACAACTTTAAACAGTATAAACTTGTTTTGATCTCGGGAATTTGGATTTCTTTATTAATATTAATAAAAAATAATGAATAAAAAATAAAAATATTGTTTTTAAATTGCAACATTGGTTTAGGATGGTCAAACATCCAACGTAGTTGGATATGAATCCTTTATAAAATGTATGTATACACAAGTCATAATAAATAGCTTTGCATTGGGTGGTAATTAATAATCGATCAATATGAAGCAGAATGCACTTCAAAAATAAATGCTACGCATATGTT